TTTTATTCAGTCGGAATCTGCTTCAATACCATCATTAAAAATTGTATTTCATGAAATTATATTTCTCCTAGATCAATGACTGAGATTATGTCAACCGATTGGAACTAGTGTATTGCATGGAAATATTCTCATAGAATGCATTCTGGATAGCATCGGAATAATTTTGCAGTTTTGTCGCATGCAATAGAGAATGCTAGTTGCGTAGTGGCAAGTTGGAGGATTAAAACAGAGAATAATGAAAGACAACCCAATCTGCAGATATCACTCAAGACATTTTTTTGAAGATAATTAAGCAATTCCTAAAACAAGAAGTTGTCCATCTGAAAGACAAGTTCGATTTACTTATTAAATTTGGAAGTTGCATTGTCAGCATCCTCTATTAGAAATCAATTCAACGTTGTATTATGTCCAAAAGTAGAATCATTGGAAATACAATCAGTATCGTTATTGTTATCATATCATTAACATGAAACTTTATTGCAACGTCCAACAAAATTCATTAATCAACATTTGAAGGTGTTCCTTCTGCAGCTTATTCCGTATCGAAAGTATCAATCTGAGTCCATATTTTGACAGCTTCATCGTGCGTTGCTTGACTGTATTTTTGCGAGATCTGCTCCAATTTCGTTTCGTATTCGCTGAATTTCGTGTCCATATCTTGCTCGAACTCAATCACTTCTAGTAGCTCTTTCTTTGCCTCAGCTGTCGCATTGGCCTCTTGAATCCGCTTCACCAAAGTCTCATATCGCCTGTTCCAGTAGTCTGCCTCATCAGCCAAATACTGCCGCAATTCCCTCTGTAAGTTTCGTTCGAAGGTGATCGTTGAACTATATTTGATCTCTTTTTCTGTCCATTATTGTTGGCTGTTTCAATAGTTTGTGAGAGAAACAGGGACGAATTTGAAAAAAATTTTTGAGGGCAGTTATATCTGAGAAAACTGAAATTGGAGCATCTCAAGATTCTAAGATCAAGCTTAGCATCGGCTAAATGCTTTGAACTGTACTCGAGATGGTACATTCAGTGACATTCCCGTTTCTCTATTAGTGCAGCTTTTTCTGATTCCGAAAGTTTCATGGTTTCCAGTCGAGGGTTTTTGGGAGGATCATGCCGAGGAGTCATCGAGTGTCTGATCGTTTTAGGTCAATCGAACCTGGCTAGCTGCGCCTTCCTCGGATGCATGCTCTCTCCTGTGCTTGTTGCTGAGGCTAATAGACTCATTTAAAGCTTCAATATTGTTAGTCGTGAGATCATTGAATAACCGACTACATCCGATTATTTAAGAAAACTGCTCGCCTTGATATTACTCGAATATCCGGGTATAGCGATAAGCCTTTCAGCGCAATAACATTCACTCAAAACCATACCTCAAAGCTGCCTCCGTATTTTGTTGCCCACGATACGATGTTGTCATTGAGCTGTTCTTTGGTTAAATTGGCAGCATTTGCAAAAATCTCATTGAATTCCTCTCTTATTTGATCAGTTGTATTTTGAAGAAGTTCACAGAGATGTTTACTTTCGTATCGCATACCCGTTTCAATATCACATTCACACTGAATCGCATCCAGCAATAGAACGAATATTGCCACGTTGAATATCAAACATATCTTCGTCATCACTATCAGCCTCTTTATCAATGAAACTGGTTCGGACGAATTTGATGAGTGAGTGATATGATAGAAAAGTAGAGCAATAAATCAAATCGGTCGTCCGCAGATGATAGCAGTAACTAATTTGTTGGAATGCTTTTCGTTTGGTGGATATGAGTTGGGCAGCTATTTTATGCAATGACGGGGTGATGATAGTAGTAATGAGAATTGTGCAGAACAGTGCTTGAGTTCAGTGATTGTGTGGAGGTAAGCGTGAAAATTTGGATGTTCATCAACGAATGGAGGAAATTTTGTTGAGAATAGAGGTGTTAGCAGCAATGTATACACCCACTCGTGACTGTCATACTCCTAGTGGTACTCATCTATCCGGTTTTAATAACGATCATATTGATGATACGATAGTGCACGCAATAGAGCATTGCAGCTCATTAACCACTTTAGTTGACCTGTTATTATGGATGGATTTTATAAGGGTTCTGGCAGTTATTTTGAGAAAAATAATTCAACATGTAACATTTAATTTGCAACATGTGATTCGATTAACCCATCTGAGCCGTTCCGTATATGACACTACTGGAGATGATCTTTTGGCTGCACTGAATGATATTCCAGTCGAGAGCATTGTGAACTGTNTTGAAGATGCTCATGGTCATAGCGATTTCGATGGAATGCGTGCGCGCTTTCGAATACAGCAAGCAGTGATGAGACATGATAATCAACTGATCGTTCGGTTTCTCCAAAGAAATTTGCTCAAGAATGAATGACATATTGCATTTGCTTGTAAATGTCAATGTTTAAATGCTAACTGTCTGTTGAATAATTTTCATTCATTCATTTCATACAAACTGAATAACAACCTCTATTTGCATAGAGCAATGACAAAACAATAGATATAATAGAACGTCTCTGAATATCAGCTTCGTGAATAATCGCTTTCATGAAACTTGAGAAAGACGGCAAAAAATCTGACACAAAATTGTCTTTTTAGTCGCATTTTCTGACATTTGATGATGAAAGTGTAATGACTGATCATATTCGATTTCAATGAATTTCTACATTGTTTTGAATGAATTCAACATTGAATGATTAGTGCATCATAAATGACATTATATTGTTTTGTTTCCTCAAAAATTGAACATTTTCAGTTCAAGTTGCTTCCGAAATGTGCACTGAAGGTCAGTCAGTAAAGTCACCGCAACGAACGCATTTAAAAGCTCGCCGTCAAATTGGTGAAGCAAATGTGGCTGGTTTGTCGCAAGCCTCGCTTAATGTTCGATTCTATCATCTCGATTTGAAATGTCTGCATATCTCATTTGATTGATTGCAAATTTGATCCCTTTAGATCAAACAGCTATCCGAACCTCGTCCTCTGCTTACAGCATCGACGCTCATTTCAACTGAATACCTGATTTTGTGCTGAACAGAAAGTTCCACTGGAATCTATGAATACCAGCTCCATAAAGCATACCCAACTGGAATCTACGAAACTTTGAACAACTACAGTCGAGTCGTGCTGTTCACCGTGGATGCTCGTGAACGACAGTTTCGTCGTTCAAAATTCCGAGAGAACCATGTCATATATACATTACTGTTTTACTAATCAAACGCCAAATTCCATTTCAGGTTCAATACTAAAACAGAAACTTCTTCAGTTTGTTGAGGACGCCTCCAGAATGTGCACTATCAAACTGATCATTCTAGTGTGTTGTTGCTTCGCGCTAGCGCTGGCGGATAGAGATCAGCTGTTTAGACTACTACCGGTGCCAAAATTTGCCGAAGGTGCAAGTCCTAAGGCAATTAAAGAGCTGCGTGCAATCTTGCGTGACATGACTCAAAGTAAACGAAATCTCAACGAAAGAGTCGCTGAATGGGCTGACCAACAAGGACCCAAATTCAGGGTAAACTGCATCCATCTCTTTAAAAAGAGACATTCTACGAGAAATCTCTTTAGATTAAATATCTCAACAGGTTGAAGAAATTAATCAGTTAGCCTTCTCAGATGCTGTTGTGGAAGAATTTCGAGCTCCTCAACAAAACATTGATCGGTTTCAAGGAAAATAAACGTTTTTTTTNTTTTTTTTGCAGAAAGCTTATGATGAAGCGATGAAGGACATGAAGGAACATGCAAAGGAAGTGTTAAAAAAACTTCCAACGTTGGATGTCAGCGACGAAATTAAAGACGTGGTCAAAAAAATTTTAGAACTCAGATTGGATGATTCGATAAGTATTCATGAAGAAATGCTGCAAGGGATAAAGCTAGTACGCCCGCTTTCCTTCAGAGACATTATGACCGTGCGAGAAATTTTGTCACCATTTGCGACTCCTTAAATGATTCACTTTCTAACAACGAAGAAATTCCTCATTCTCAGCGTGAAACATAAATCATCAAACAATCAATATTGCTGTTATGATTACATTACAAATGGTTATCTGCAGGCTGTATAGCCAATTACACATTATTTAATAAAGTGAATTGAGGTCAATGATATAACCCGTTATTCGAATCGATTTGAAAATTCACAAATGAGTTCACAATTCACAAAAATTCAAAATTCACAAGACCTTTCAAGATTCACCACTGAATTCTGTTTGATCAACACTATTCCCTCGCATATCAACAAATTGATAGAATTATGAAAATCTTCTCCTGAGGGGGTTTTGATGGGCGATTGAATCAGCAAAATGTTTGCTTCTCAGCGCTCTCATTCTCTATTCTCTTAAATTCTGGCCGCTTTCTTCATTCTCATTCTCTGTTTCTCTTTCACATGACCGTGGAGACAGTAACAACAGAGAGCATGCTTTGGTCAAAATCATAGAGCGCCTATTGCATGAATAACACACGTTGCGGCATGTGCAACTNTGACTAATATTTCATCAGTTCTTTGGTACGGCTTATTTTTGAATAATTTGAATTGTTTGCAGTGCATTTTTGACGCAATGAATTATTTGTTAGAATGATCAAGGAACAGAGAAATTAAAACATCGAAGAAATTTCTCTAATTCATCTTATTTTGAGACATTAGCTTGTCAGATTGTAACATATCGTGAAAGTATCTAATGGAGGGATAAGAAAACGTACTTGAGGATATTTCATATTAAGATTGAGAAGATCACAAGCTTATGGTCAAAATGACGTACTGGACATTCGATACTTGCCATCCATTATTTCTCTGTCATGTAAATGAATCAACAAAACAAATGAAGTGATAAATGAAAATCAAGAAATTCTGATTCACTATTGAGTATTAGAATTATTATGCAAAAATTATATTGGGTTATCAATTATTGCATAATTTTATAGGAACAATGCCTGCTGTGTCATACACCATATTATGTGATATTAATAAAGCGGATTTCTTCATTTTCCACTTTCCACTCAAATTTGTTGATCCTTTTAAGCTAACTTTCCGCAACATATGGTAGATTCGGTCCCAAAACAAACAAGCCATTAGAAAATCTTGATTATGATCAGGGATCCGTTTCTAGTGCTAGTTACATGAAAGATCAACATCATAAGATAGATCACACGAGAAATCATGCCGTGGCGAATAGATCACTAGAATAAAAATGACTAAATCGATAGTCAAGTATCAACAACATCGTTGAACCAACCTGGAATCACGTGTATTTGGGCGATTCGTAACGATGGATTATTAGTGCCGGATGAAGCTATGTCTTCAGCATCTTTAAAAGCTTCCTTTCCGTACAGAATAACAAGCAACTTCGTCATTCTGTCACTGGAAGCGTTTTCGTTGAAAATATTCAGTGCAAATTGAGTTGCCTGCAACATAATGCTGAACAATCTTTATTTTCTGATTCAGAAATCAATCCTATTAACGTTCTGACTGTCGATTACCTCAAGAGCTGTGCGATCCACTTGCATTTGACACCACCAATAACCACACGGAATTTTACGAAGAGTGGAGATCGCTTTTTGTAGATGCGACAACTTTGTGGCTTGAGCAAGCTTTATGCGATAGTACGGTTCACGAATCCGATCGAACACAACCACACCAACGCGTGTGCTCTGACATTGAACACAGTTACGATTATATTCATGATTTCGCAGTCTCATACTATAGTCATACTAAGAGTTAACCTTGAAAGTTACTGACCAGTGTCTTTCATGTGGTAAACTACAAATGAGAATGCATCGAGACAGATGAGGTTTGGAGTCATCGAATCGTTTCAGACAAATTTTGCGTTGAATCTCCGAAAGTATACGGAAATATGTTCGTAAAGTGATCACCAAACAGACCATCATTCAAAATATTTTGAAAGCTTTACCTTCGAGCCGGGTCCAATGTCAAGATCATCAACGTACTGTTTCATAAAGCCTTTGACATCTTCGAAATCTTTCTTACTCATATCATAACTGCTTTGCACCACAAAAATCAAATCTGATGCTCCCAAGTCGCAGTTCGGAGACGCCGAATCAACCACGGCCAAGTACAAGCAGCCCAGAAGTATTAACGCTATCATCAGACGAAGCTGTAATATTGTCGTGGAGGCTCAAATATTATATATATGTTAATCATTTTGAGCAGATCTGCATTTTGAATGATACTATGACTTGATCAGCTCATTATACCCCACTCAGTGACGACAATATCGTTGATAGATCAAAAATTCATATCACTTGCGAAATATTGGGATTCATCCTATAGTCAGTTGGATCTACTTATTGGTAGCTTTTGAATAATTAAAGATATGAATACACCTCGGATAAGAATGAAGATGTGATAGAAATGACAGGAAATAATCACTGTCTGGAGAGCAGATTATTGTGAGGAGGTAAGAAATAGAGCGAAACCCTCTTCAGTGATCATAAGTATTCTTTTATCTGCAATTGTGCCAGTTCTTTAGACAGCAGCATTTTCAGCGAATAACTTGTCAGATCGTATTGTTGACAAAAGATTATTCGTAAAATTAATTGCGTTCAGTGTATTCATGAACACAACTTGAATTGAACACATTCTGAATATTTATTTGACTCTTAGACCTAGGGCGTTGCAAATACACTGTTCCAAGGGATATTCCTCCGTTTTCTAATGCTTCCAACTGACCAAATTTGGAATATTCAATCTTTTCTTTACATGTGTAATCTATCTACCTCTCAAAGTAATCCATCTTCACCAACATATCTATGACTCTATTTATGTTGAAATAATACAGATGCATGCAGCTTTATTAGTATCTTCACAGAAACTTTTCCAGCCAATGACATGATACACGAACACTTGATAACATCATCAATATGAATCAAAGCATTGTTTTCATCACAGAACTATTTTATATCGATACGTATCGCATAAAATGGTTTCTGATGAAAACGACAAATCAACTGAATCAAGTGAAATCTTGTGTTGCTGGTTCGATTGCATCTGCCCAAATGAGATTTTAGTTATCGCTCATCAGATCGTCGTTTTTCACCAAGTAAGTAAACGTTCCAAGATGTGTTCCATTCGAAAATTTGTTTGAGTTTTCCATAGAATTTACTTGCTTTCTTAGGGCAGTATGATTCTTTCGCGGAAAAGAGTGAATTGACTGCGAGCAGAGCAACTTTTTTTCACTTTCTTCGGGGCATCAGCTTTCTGTTCGGCAGTTCGTTGGCTGGCGATGCCAATCATGCTTACCTGAAAAAACCATTTGCGATGGTGAATTGCTGGCGAACTGGAACATGGAGGACAAGGGACGTATGGTGATATACGTATGACAATCGTATGGTGATTGACATAATGACCCAATTTACAAAAAAACAACATCGATCATATAAGTCAATTTCCACCTTGAAACTCATTTTACATAGAACATGCTAGCGGGATATGCTGAATTTCGCTTTCAAAAGCTTTTTCGAAGGAGCTGAATGTTTGTTTCATTGGATATTTCTTTTCAGAATGTTATTTTTATAGTTTCAGAATGCCTCGTTCTTGTGAAGTTTTCATTTTAGACTGTCCTGTCCCTGTACAGATAGCCTAAGAGGTTGTTCCTGGAACATACCTCAGTGGATTGCTCATCATCCTTCTCACGTTCGTCAGCATAGAACGACTTCTTGCTCTCTGTGTCAAACGATCGTATCGAGGTTACTTCACTGGGAATGTCTTCTAGCCGACCGCAAGGTGGTGTCTCACTGAAAAGCGCACGTATTCAGTCTGTTATCATCTTATCATTTAAAAGCGGAATGTTATCATTTTAGAAGGATTGGAATTTTTCTTGTTTTTGAGCTTGAATAACTTTTTACATTGTTGTCCTCTTCTAGCTATTTTTATGTTTTCAAGCAGCCACGCGGCAATCTCATCATGAACGACACATTGCAACTAACCAGTAGAGCTCGTTGAAGTTGACAATACGACTGATACGACGTCTCAACTCTATTTCATGCTCGATAGCGCAGATTTGTTCGTCAGTACTGAAAATTTTGATTGTGTACAACAATAACTTGATACTTTTCGATCATCGTGAGATCATTACCAATCATTCTTGTCTCGTACAATCGTATAAGACAAGTTATCAAATCAAGCTGATAGTTCGAAAAGGAAATAACTAACGTTCTACGTTGCTCATAGCGATGAGGAAGTTGATTGTTTGAAACTTTTTGCTTATTGCCAACATTGGCTTGCTTGGTGGACTGTTGCTGTTGAGTGTTATTCTTTGGCGACATTTTTCCGAGAAACACAAATTTTCTTGATTTCAAGAAGAGAACGCAACTCTAAAATTCAGTAGGTCACGTAAAAGAAACAGATTTTTGTCTAGTGGCAGATCATCAACGAATGCAGTGTGACGAACAACCTTCAAGCCCAGCTAGTTCAGGTCTATCTCGTCATCGGAATTTCTACTCCTCTCAAGACTGCTCCACTCATTGTCAGTGAACACCAAAACTGGTCACTTCTCAAGTTTCATCAGTCTCAGAGTACACTGAACAACCTATGTCCTTATATACACCAAATGTTTCTAAGATACCTCAGTCTAGTGATCCAGTTGAAGAGCAACAAGGCAGCACACTGAATATTGCATCGGATACGGCAATGAAAAGGCTCGTTGGCGTTCAGCCTGGGCTGTTAACCCAAAAGGTGGCTGGGTAGGTGATCTTATGCGAAGGTTGTGCGAAGGTAATACCTAGCGAATTATGGGGAATCCTTTCTGATGCAGGCAATTTATAGTGCCTGTCAAATTCCAAGTTTTTTTTTGACTGTCGAATGACGATTAATTCATATGACGATGAAATACGTTTTTTGACACAAATCACGTCCAGAAGAGATGGGACGTCCTCTCGGCGATAATGGGATTCCCCTTCCGCTACATATTCAACACAGTGCAATCGCTCGATTCATCAAAACATAACACACCATTTACTAAATTGATAAGCACGATAACAAGGACATCGTTTGAACTCTTTATGATTCAAAAGTGTTTTTCATTGAAATCTCTTATCAGTTCAATATGCTTCGAAAACATTCTATTGTTTTGCATGGAATTCGTCGTTGCGGCTGAAAATCAAAGCATTAATTCAGTGATTGCGAAACGAATAATGGAATAACATTTCAAAAATCCAAAAAGCTTCTCTCTCCGTCATAAACGTTTGCTTTTATTGCCGTGTTGGTTGACGAAATGACAGTCGTTTAATACGGTGTTTGTAGATTAGAAAACAATTATTAATGCATTATTTTTTTTGGCGATAATATTGCATCATAAAACAATTCGTCGCACCCTTAAGCTGACGACGGCTTCGAATCGGTTTCGTTCCTGCTCACAAATATCAACACAATTTGAAATTCATTACTTAATCTACAATCTACGGTGTTTGTGTCGAGTATTATAGGATAGTTCTCGTGTTTAGACTCTCTCCAGCTCTTCAAGAATCATGAAGAAGACACGAAAGCCAGAAACTTCGCCAGAAATCACCTGAGGTAGTCGCGAATGTTGTTTTTTCAAGAGCTGGAAGTTCTCAGTGGGGCTGTTTGATCTTTACTAGACCAATTTCGTCAATCTTTGATCAGTGATCGTAAGGCGGTCTTTTGGACAAGTTTGCAGTCAGTTTAT